GGGGGCTGATGTTGGCATCCCGTGGTCACTGTTGAGTCCCAGGGGGCTGATGTTGGCATCCCGTGGTCACTGTTGAGTCCCGGGGGGCTGATGCTGGCATCCCGTGGTCACCGTTGAGTCCCGGGGGGCTGATGTTGGCATCCCGTGGTCTTTGTGATCAGGATCTGACGCTGAAGCATGGCTGGCGCACTGGGGCGATCATCCCCGAGCTGCGGTCCGAGCTCAGAATCATGAACACGGAGCAGTACATTCAGACCATGACCTGGCTGCAGACCTTGACTGGGCTCCTGGAGCAGATGCAGGTTGGCGTGTTGTCTTTGTGTCTGTCTGTCTGTCTGTCTGTCTGTCTGTCTGTCTGTCTGTCTCTCTCTCTCTCTCTCTCTCAAGCCTAAAGATAATTACCGAACAAAACGATGTCCTGTAGTTTCTGTGTAGTTATGAAGTACAAGGTTTAAGTAGTCCTCAGTGGACTGTAGAGTTGCTAGTGATTATTTGGTCCTTTCCTCTTGATGGGACCCTTACAAATGTTCCCGGGAGCCTTTTCAGGGTTTTAAAGGCAGGTGCTGTGTTTGGTCCTCTGTTGGTGAAAATTTGCCCACTAATTCCCACTCAGTTATCCTCGGCCACCCTCCTTGCCTTTAGATTACCAGGGGACTTCCCTGCACTGGCCTCAGTGTCCCCATCTGTAAAATGGAGGGTCTTTAGGAACGAACACGCCAATCTAGCCACCCAAGAGTCGCAAAGCAAGTTGGGATCCTGGGTCAGCTTCAGTGGCACTGTGATTAGCTGCTTTCCCGAGTTCAGTGGCGAGTCATGCAGCTAGCCTGGGGCAAGTCATGCAGCCAGTCTGGGGCAGTTAAGACAGGATGCCTTTGTTAAGCTTATTTCCTAGCCCAAGCTGTTGTCCCTCTGTGGTAGCTGTGACACTTCTCAGGGCTTTTCTCACCCCATCTCATGAGCCACCTGTTCAGCTCTACCGGCCATGCTGTCTGTGTGAGTGGGTGAAGATGCTTTTAGGTTACGGGACACAGAGGGCCACTCTTGGCTGGCGCACCTGCAGCCTCTGGTCATGGCCCGCTGCCCACAGATCCTCCCGCCAAGCTTCGAGGAGAGGCAGGGCAGGCCGTGTCCTCTCTCCCAGGGTGCACATTCCAGTGCATGGGGCCCCACACGTCCTCCAGGCCTGGGTTCTGGTAGGCCCCGGAGACCTTGGCTCTTCTGATTGGGGTTTGTTTTGCTTTCTTTACCGTGTGGGCTATGAGGTGGTTTTCTAAAAATACCGGCTGTCAAGTCTGGCCTCATGCTGCAGAGCCTGTCACCCGGCGGTAGTTTTCCTTACGTGCCCGCCGGTGTGCCAAGGGCTCGTATGGCACACAGCATCAGTCACGCTGTCCTGTGTGCAGGTGCAGCCTTTTCATTTTAGAATGAGGAAGCTGGGTTTGGAGAGGCTAGTGACGTGTCTGAGGTCACAACATGGCACAGTGAGGTTCAGCTTCGGGCTTGTGATGCCCGTGTCTGGGCTGCCTGGCACCACCCTGGAGTGCCTCCGCCTTTGCGGCTGTCAGGTGGGGCTAAGCCTCTGCCATAGTCTTATTTGTGGGTTCTCTTTCTGTGTTTTTATTTTACTTGTCTGTGGTTAAGTGGTCAAAAAATATGAAGTAGAAATTTTCAGAAATAAACAATTCATATGTTTGAAATAATGTTTATAGTATATTGATAAGGCTGTTGTTTTATCATTAGTTATTAATCTCTTATTTTGTGCCTGATTTATAAATTGATCTTCGTTATAGGTATGCACACATAGGAAAAACAGCCTATTGATAGTGCCTACGATTTAGGTTATGGGCTTGGTCAAATGCACAAGTGACCTGCGTGTACTGACTTGGTGACTGCATCCAATTGGCTCTGGAGACAGGTCTTGTTTATCTTTCCTCCGACCCTGGAAAATGCTTGATAGCTAAGGTAGCATTGAAAAGATGTCTGTGACGTTGAAAAGATTTCTGTGCTGTACAGAACAAGTCACACAAGACAGAGACTGGGGAAGTAAGAGAGGGGTTGGTGTGTGTTTCCACCCTGATTTTATAGGAGAGGAAACAGGCTCAGAGCTAAGGGAACTTTTCCAGTTACAACATAGTCTGTAGCCTGGAGCCGGCTGGACGTGAGGTCTGACTGATGTAGGGCTGGGCCTTGTGTTCATTTTCTCCTCTCCAAACTCTGTGGTAACCCTGGGAGCACACCCTCATGTGTCCAGTGATTCCCTGAGCTCAGGGGAGAAATCCCTGGGGTGTAAATCCCTTACACCAGCAGGTCCCTCTGGCTCCGGTCTTCACTTGCCTGCTACATCCCCTCAAGCTCTGTTGGGTGTGGGTACCACATATCAAAGGGTGGGGCTGACCAGTTAAACATATGCAGATGAGTGAATTTCCTCACTGCTCTACCCAGACCACCACCGCCCCAATCTGGAAAGTTCCATGTTTTTCCGTTGAGCTGATGACTCGTGCTTCTGGAACTTTCCTGCAGTGATGATTTTCAGAATATGTAGACCATTATTAAGAAAATGTGTCCTGTGAGATTGGGTTTAATTTGGGGAAGAGCAGCAGGGAGTCATTTGGAGTTAAGTCTGATGAATTAAGCAGAAGAACACAACTTTTGGATTTAAAAAAGTGACTCTAAGGATTAATTCCGTGGTCATGACTAACAGTGAGAGCTGGTGTCTGTAGACCTTTGCAAGGGCCTTCAAGGCCACACACGGACTCGGGGTTGGCAAATTTCTTCGAAGGCCAGAGAGTGCATATAGTAGGGTGTGTGGGCTGTGGACTGTGTCATAAGCACTCAGTTTTTCTCAGCGCCGCCATGGACAGTGTCAGCAAGCCGCTGCGGCTGTCCCAGCCAGCCATGGATGCTGAAATACAGCTCTCATCTCATTTCCATGCGTGATGAAATGATTCTTTTGTTTCCCAGCCATTTCATAGAGAGCACCCGTCTGTCAGCTCAGTAGAATGGGTACTGCCTGCATCTGGCTTCCTGGCGTTGCCCACTAGGTGACCTGCTTGCAGCATCCTGTGCATACCGAGGGGGTGGGACAGTGATGGGCTAGCCAACCTGCGCCTTGCCCACAAAGAGCTGACTATATTGAGTGACAGCTTTGGGGACAAAGATAACTGAGAGCCTGTGGGTTTCTGGTTAGTCTTCCCATGCCAACTGCTCACTCTGGAGGAAGTGAACTAAGTGATAATAATAAGTAATTGCATAATGTTTAATACGCAATGAAATAACAATAAGTACTATTGTGATTAATAATGAATAGACCAAAATATTTTAAAGCAGACTTCAGATACTCGAGGCTTGTTTGACAGAGTGTGCCTTGTAGGGGACAGACCTGGAGAAGGGACAGCTCAGGAGAGGTAGGTTTTCTCAAACAGGGATGAGCACGATTAGGTGCTGGTGACGTGAGCCCAGTGATGGAGAAAGTCTTGGAGGGTGGCCACAGCCAGGGCCAAGAAGGGGCTGCATCCGGACGCAGAGCCACGGAGCTTGGTGTCCCTGTTCTGGGGATGCTGTCTTTGTGTTTCGCTTCAATATCCCGTGGTCATGGGCCGCTGGAGACCACCCATCATCCTCGGATGCCCTCTAAGCTCAGGACCAGGGTTGGGGAGACAGTTCACTGGATAAAGGTGCTTCCCCCCAAGTGTAATGTCATGAATTCAGTTCTGGGAACCCAGAAGAGAGCCTAGTCCTGCAAGCTGTCCCTAACCTCTTACCTCCACATGCTGAGATATATGCGCCCTCTCCCCAAGTAAATAAAATGTTAAAACAACAACGACAATGAACTTAAAAAGAAAATCAGGGCCAGTGGAAAAGCAGAGGCAGGCATCCAAGTGGAGTGCACGCGCTGTCCGCTCCGTATCTGGTGAAGCTGGCTCTTTCCGTCTACAGAGCCTGCCCTGGGCTCCATCTGAGGCTGGGAGTGGAGAGGAGAATTGGTATCCTTCTAGCAGTTACTTGGACAAGAGATAGAGTAATTTTGGCGATTCTCAGCCTCGTCTCCACTCCCGAGATTCTTCCTTCTTCCAAGTGTGGCCCTGTCCCTTGGGCTCTGGGACCAACACTTTTTTCCTGCAGTTCCTGAGACCAAGGTGCCAGCAGTCACTGTCGGTGAGGTCTGGCTTTACCTGGCGGCTTCATGTGGTCGAGAGGTTAGAGAACTCTGATCTTTCCTATCAGGACACTGATGTCGTTGATAAGAACCTCACATTAACGTGAGTTAATTACCTCGCTAAGGCCAGAGCTCTAATGCCATTGTGACCTTGGTGGTTAGCATTTCTGCCTGGGAGTGTTGGGGGGATGTAAGCACACTATCTCTAATGTGCTCCCTCCAGGGGCCTAGTTTATGGATTAAGATGGAATTGTGGCCCAAGTTGAGGCTCAAATTTTCTCTTAAAGATTGTGGTGTCACATTGTTTTGCTATGGCCTGTTCCCACAGTGGCCGCCATCTTTTCTCGGTTGTGTCTTCATTATCTGGCACAGGAAGGCCTGGTACTCAGTGGGTACTGAATGAATACACACACACACACACACACACACACACAGATTTTACATGTATAGAAATTCCTTGAGGTGTCCTATGGATTTTATCTCTAAATTCTATGGGGGGTGATCTGTTAATTTAAAATATGAACACCAGGGCAGGAGAGAGAGCTCAGGAGTTAAGAGCACTGGCTGTTCTTACAGAGGTCTCAGGTTAGATTCTTAGCACCCACATGGCACCTGTAATGATAGTCCCTGGGTATCTGATGCTCTCTTCTGGTCACTGGATGCTGCATGCATGCATGTGATGCACAGACATACAAACCCTCATCAAAACTCACAGCGGTGCTGGCTGAGTGACCTGGTGCATTAGTAGAGCTCAGTTAGGATAGTTTCAATGACAGCTGCTTCCTGGCTTGGACAGATATTAGGCAGGAAACCCAAGTCTTAGGCTCAGCTGGGACGGATTTTGTCTGGTTGACTGTGGAGCTGGGCAGATGTGACAAACAGGGTTTGGCTCTCATGGGAGGCAGGTGGTTCGCTGTGTAGTCCTGTCCTCTGAGTCCTAAGGTTACCCCGGGGTCATGAATGAGGTAGTGCCACATGTCCCCCGTGGTCATGAATGAGGTAGTGCCACGTGTCCCCCGTGGTCATGAGTGTCCTGACTCTGGCTTCACTGTTGCTGTTTAGCAGTGAGGACCTTGGTGAGGAGCCACATACCGGCTTGTGGGGAGTTGTCTGTCACTGGCTCAAACTTTGACTCATCAGACAACCTTTCACATGTCCTTGTCATCAAGGCTAGTGTGACATTCGGGATATAAAAATTAAGAGTATCTGAGTCCAGTTCTCCTGTGTAAGTTAAACATTTCAGTGCTGATTTCCAGATGTCGTGGGCTTAGAATTCGTGGGTGTGCTGCCATGTGCACCGTGCCCACTTCTCGGCCATTGTGTCGACACCCAGGGAGGAGGGGCAGTAGGCATCACGGACTGTGTATTGATCATGTAGTACATGGGTGTAATGGGCATGGCAAACACCGTATGTGGATGTACATGTATTGTGTTATACATAACCTTTAGTAACAGTTTCATGGCTTCATAATTTTACATCTTAATTTGTGAAGCTACATTCTTAGATTTATCGTGTGTGTGTGTGAATGTGTGTGTGTGTGTGTGTGTGTGTGTGTGTGTGTGTGTGTGTGTGTCGCGCGTACATGCCACCTCATTTGTGTGAGGTCAGGGGACATCTTGCAGGAGTTGGTTCTCCCCACCGGGCTTGGAGGCGGGTGTCTTTATCTGTCGAGCCATCTCCAGCCCTAAGCTCGGCTTCTAATAACAGACGACTGAAGCTTCTGTGTGTGTGTGTGTGTGTGTGTGTGTGCGCGCGCCAAGACGCTGGGCTTTCACTTGGGAAAATGCATTACTTCTCACAAGTGCTACTTAAGGAGTAAGATTCCTTCATGAAAAGTTGCCCATTAAGAAATTCTTGCTGCTAATGTGTTTGTTTGAAACCAAAGCCCTGGGAACTGTTGGCTTATGTCCCTGCAGGTCCACAGAGATGCTGAGTCACAGCTGGTTTTGCAGGAGTGGAAAAAGGAGAGGAAGGAGATGAGGTAAGAGCGTCACGGTCACCACCTGTGAAGGCCCACCCCAGCTTTGGTGTGCTCTGTGTGTCTGAGGCGACGTCGGGAAACCAGGTGGGACCGTGACTCCTGAGTGTCCAGGATCACTTCTCTGCCAGCTGTGATCCCCATCTGTCCTCTGCCCTTGCCACTGGAAGCCTTGGGGGAGGCTGGTGGTGGGTGGAGGTGGCTTTATCTCTTTCTCTCCCCTGCCTTGACTGGAGCCCAGTGGTTGGTGGCTGTCCGCACATGTGGCTGTTGGGACTGTGCCGGGACCGGGCTCTGAACACAGGAACCCTGCCTGCTGTTTCAGGAATGCGCACCCAGCCTTTCTTGGTCCAGAAAGTCTTGCATTGTCACAAGTTTCACGAGTGTGTCCTTAGGGAACAGTTGTCCACAGGAGCCTTGGTGACATCCGTGCTTCTTATGACTGGTGCTTTCAGCCTCTCTGCAGACTGTGTGTGGTTGTTCCTACGCCCTGGCAGAGACTGAGATTGGAAACGGGTTGTGTCTGGGGCTCTGGTCCCTCCCTGAGCAGTGGCACCTAGGCTTGAGAAGGGATGTTATTGAAGGTTCTGCAGCAGCCACGCCTGTATTGAGTCCCATCCTGCCTCTTCCTCAGCCCATTGGCTGCCTCAGGCTTATTCTGACTGGATTCTTTTGCTGTAAAAATGTGGAGGAGAGGAGAAGTGGGAAAAGGAGACGGTGGGATTGCCCGTCTCTGACGGCCTGGGGTCCACAGTGCCTGGGTCACTCACTTTCAGGAACCTAGAACGGCTTGATAAGGAAGCACCTCACCTGCTTCGGATTTCCTGTGGCTCCACATCACTAACAATGACACATCTTTTTCTTTTGTTTTTCTTCTCTTAGTATTTAGATTTTTTTTAATGTGCTGGAGTGTTTTGCTTACATATATGTCTGTGCATCTCGTGCATGCCTTGTGCCCATGGAGGGCAGATGAGGACATCACATCCCCTGGAACTGGGGTTCTGGACAATCGTGGGCTGCCACGTGGGTGTTGGGATTCCTCTGTAAACACAAAAAAAATGCTGGTAACCACTGAGCCATCTATCCAGCCCCTCCCCTCTCTCATCTCCACGAGACGTTGCAGTAAAAGTTTAAATACCATTTACGTTGTTCATCTGCAGAGACCCAGTTGGGGCTTTAACAGCTGTGGCCGTCTGATCATTGCGACTGTCATTCTCCAGTGACAGCAGCAACTGCTGACTTCCGAGTGGTTTTTATGCACAGTTGTGCAAAGGGGTTAGACGTTTGCTGTATCTGTAACTGATTTTGCACCATTCAGACGGCATTAATCATTTTGCTGAATAGTCCGTGGGTGGAGGGTGTTGACTGAGCTGAGACTGCACAGAGGTCTTGTTGCAGAGGCCTACCTCGGCCTGGGTGACTGAGGATGCTCTGGGCTAGGCTGGAAGGGAGCGTGCAGTTGAAGGCCTGTCATGGAAGGTGGTGACTAACGTAATAATCCATAATGCTTCCATGGAAGACTTGAGGGTTTACAGTTTTTTATTTCTCTACCTTGCTTAGTTCTTGGTCTAGAAACATGGAGAACTATTTGTCTCAACTCCTCTAAAACAGCGCTGCCTGCTCTGATTGGCACACAGTGGGTGTGTTTGTGGGAGCATGTAATTCACACTGCAGCCTCAAAGTAGTGCTTTTTAACTGCCGGTAAGTGGGGAAAGTGACCAGCAGTTTGCGAGATGGCCTGACAGATGATGTTCTGTGGTTTCTTTGTTTTGTAAGACAGGGTCTCACTGTGTAGCCCAGGCTGGCTTCTGATCTTCTTACCTCAGCCCCCTGGTACTGACTTACAGGTATGGGTCCCATACCTGCCTCACACCATTTTTTCTTGGTAATCAGGTCTGCTCTTGGCTAACTGGCTACTTTTTCTTTCCAGTAGCTTTTTGTTTTAAATATATTTTTACTTCAGTGGTTTTTAAAAAAAAAAATCTTTCTAAAACCTTTCTCTGTTACTCTGTTTTGATTTCTTGGCACTTCAGAGAAATGACCAAAAGCTTCTTCAACGCCCAGTTCGGGAGCTTGTTCCGCACAGACCAGAACCCGACCTACTTCCTGAGGCGCCTGTCGAGATTCGCTGACATCTACATGGCCTCTCTGAGCTGCCTGCTGAACTATGACGTCCACCACACGTTCTACCCCAGGAGGACTCCCCTGCAGCATGAGCTCCCCGCGTGGTCGGACAGCCCGTCTGCCTTCAAAGCCCCGCTGCTGCGGGAGGCTCAGGCCAAGTAACCTGTGCCTGCCTGCCTGAGGAACAAGCCAGAAGCAGCCACGGCCCCACCGAGGGCCCAGTGGGCCTGAGAGTTGGTCTCCCAAAGAGTCAGATAACACCGTTTGTATTTTTTTCTACCTTACCGCAAATACTGTCCTGCCCAGGTGGAGACAGGAGCTGGCCGCCTGGGTTCTGTCCTCTACACACAGCATCAAAACACGGATGCCGCCCTGTTTACTATGGAACCAACGTCAGGCCTTCTGAGACAGACAAGCGAGACCGCCTGATGCCGTCTGTGTTCAGCAGGTCAAGAGAGGACGCGTCTTGATTCTGTGAGACACTTCCTGGTTGTTTACAGGCAGAGCACTGGGGACTGGGAGAGCTCGGTGACATCTGCAGCCAGTGCCCGGCCCTCTGGTCCTAGGCTTTTGCAGGCGTCTACACGTCGCTCCAGGAGACCACGGCCTCCCAGAATGACTTTGTTGAGGAAGAACAAGAAGAATTTGTCCTCAGTGTGAACTTGCTTTGCCTGCCCCGAACTGCCTGCCGACGGGGAGATGGGTGGATTCCCTCCTCCCCCGGGAGTGGGTGAGGAGATGGCAGCTCCGGTGAAGATTGCCTTTAAGCGGGTGGGTCGGACATCGTAGGAGAAGAAAGGCAGCGAAGCCTTGGGGCTGCGTCCGCGGCCAGCGCCAGCCTGCGTGTAGGGCACTTGGGACACGGCAGCTCGCTGGTGGAATTTCACATTCGATGCCAAGAGCCAGGCTCACGAGGGGCATCTCTTCCTCCCTCCCCGATCTGAGGGCAGAATCCTCCTCTGTTATGTCTGCTTTGCAGTATCTTTGGACATACCTGATGCCCCGAGCGAGGGCCACGGGAATGGCAGTCGTTAGAGGACACAGTCCTGTTTAAATGGTTTCGTTGTGAAGGCCACGTGAGTCCTCGTGGCTGGATCAGCCTTGTCTCACGTGGCCCGCCCGGCTCATCTTAAGCTTCTGCGCTAATGTGGCGCTGCTGCTGCCGCCATAGCTGCTCTTCTTCCCCCTCCTCCTCCTCCTCCTCCTCCTCGCCCACTCCATTCCCCTCATCTCCAGTTAGGGTCTTGCTACGGAGCCCAGGCTGGCCTTGGACTCAATCCTCCTGCCTCAGTCTCCTGAGTGGTGAATTACAGGCATGCGACTGTGGTGTGGGTGGCATGTAGTGAATCTAAAGAACGGCACGAACATGAAGGAGGCTTGTGGCGAGTGCTCGCTCGCTAGTCGGCATCTCTACGACAATAAGTAGATCGTCCCTGGCTGCTGACAGACTGCTCCCGTCCCTGGCTGCTGACCGACTGCTCCCGTGGCCTTGTGTGGGCTGCCCGCCGCAGCACAGCAGTGAGACGGGCTGTCCAGCACTCACCGCAATGCCGCGTCCTACCACGGCGCTCCTCGGTGTCTGCTGTGCTGACCGTCGTCGGCACGAAGCTGACCCCTCAGACCCCCTCCTCCCCTGTTGTGTTCTCAACACTGGGGTTCAGTGTTCCGCTTTTTCAGGACAGGATGGGCATTTTTCTGTTCGCTTGTTTCCCCCAGTGTTAGCCACCAGGGGCTTTGGGCAGCTGGCATCTAATGCCAGCAGGTGATGCTCAGCACGGCTCAGATGCTGCTCAGGATGCCCCCTGACTTGTGCTTTGAAGGAACAGAATGAAGTTTTGGTCTATTCGGATATCCTTCAGTATAGACCAGATGCCAGTTCCGGGTGGAGGCGGGGGTGTTTACTCAAGAATGAAGTAGAGCTGCTTTCTTGAATGCCGCAGGTGACCTAAGCCCTGGGGGAGAAAAACACCTAATCCTGGGTATGAGAAATGAATTTTACAGTCTGTTCCTGTGTAGAAGGGCGACAGTCTTGGGATCAGCTGTACCATGGCCCAGCGAACAGGCGGCTGGCAGACTGCACACTCAGACCCGTGCCCTGACAGTGTGGCCTGGTGTGGTGTCCTTGTAGGAAGAACGGGGGTTTCTGCCCTGTTATTGTCCCTGTCTGGTGCAGTCAGGGCAGGTTTGAACTTGTCACAGGGACTCTTGGCTGGGGTCTGACTTACTGTCCTGGTGTCTTGTTTTTGTGTGCTCATTGATAACAGGCTATAGATTTAAAAAGAGAGGTAGATCTTTTTCCACCCTTTAGAAAACCAAATTGTAAAGCAAACTTTTTTTTTTTGAGATAGGGTTTCTCTGTAGCCCTGCCTGTTCTGGAACTCACTCTGTAATCCAAGCTGGCCTTGAACTCAGAGATCCACTTGGCCTCTGCCTTCTAAGTGCTGGGATTAAAGGCGTGCACCACCACCGCCCAGCAATAAAATTATTTTTATTATATTTAAAATTATAGGGTTTTGTGTTTTTTGACATTGCTTAGACTGATTTTCTAAGAATCATGTGAACAAAAGCTGACTCTAAGGGCGGTCCCTACCAGTGTGGTACCCAGCAAGGTCTGTGGTGCCAGCAGGGGCCACCTGGGCAATTTGTACTGCTGGCCTTTCCCTGAGTTGCTTTTTCAGGGGAGAGCTGGCCTTAAAAACACCTTAGGTGTTGGGCTTTCGAAGCTCTTGCTTTTCCTCCTAAAACAGCACGCCCTCACCCATACACCCCCACCCCCCACCCCCCGCTCTCACCATTAATACATCTCCTCCTGATTTGGCCAGCTCTCAGACTAAATTACTAGCTGCTTTGAATGCATCAGCCCTCTTATTTATTGGAAGGGAGAAGCGAAAGGCACTCCAGCCTCCTACCTAATTTAGCTTCTGGTGAATGGAATGGCTTCCCCCTCCCCTCCCCTGAGCAAGCGCTAAATACTGAAATTCCATTTTGTCCAAACGCTCACTGGCTGCCAAAAACCTACTTGGGGGGCTCTTGACTAAAATGTTCAAAAGGCTAAATTTGTCGAGGGAGCCGACCCGTGCTTTCCCCTTTCTCAGTGACACCCCATCCCGGCCCCCAGAGTCTCAGTATGTAGCTCTGGCTGGCCTGGAAGTCACTTTGTAGAACCGGTTGGCCTCAGAGTGTTGAAATAAAACGCATATGCCACCATGCCTGGCATGGCTTCCTTTTGTTTGGAAGGGTTTTTTCCTTTCTCCTTTATTTTCTTGTTATTTATTATGTATATATGTTTTTGGCCAAGCTCGGCCACCCTTTCAGACCCCTGATTGGTTAAGCCAAGGGAAGGAAGAGGCGTGGAGCTCTTCTAATAAGAGAACCATTTCAACTTTGCAGGCCGCTCCCATTGCGGCCCTGTGGGAATGGGAGGAGCACAGTGCCATTGGGGTTTCGTTCACCAGCACAGGCTGGGGGCTAGCCGGGGCTCTTGGCTATGGCCTGCTGGCTGCTGCTTGGGTGGCAACATTCTTTGCTGAGAGCTTGCGGAGGGAGGAGCAGCCTCCCAGCCCCGGGACACTAGTGTAAGGTCTGGGTCAGTGTGCCGTGGCCCCTTATGGTTCTCCATATGGCCAGTGTAAGAACTGTGTCTGCAGCACCTGTCCCCGTGTGCATTTGAGCTGTCTGTTGCCCTTGTCACGGTTGAGCTGGGCCCAGGACCGAGGGCTATCATCCCATCTGCTGGGCGTGGCTGCTGGCTGATGTGTTGCTCTTGGAGAAATTCCCTGCTGCACAGCCCTGCCTTGTCCCAGATCACACGCCTTTCCTGGGGATGTATGATCCATGACTGTTCCACGTGAAGGTACTCCGGCCTCTCCAACGCTCGTTTGGGACAGTTCCAGAGCTCCGTCTGGGGCCACCAAGACCTCCTTGTGCTTGCCTTGCATTTCAGAACCCACCCTGCCCCCTGGTCCGCTCCTTTCCTTCCCAGCGGTACTCCATGTCAGACCCTCCTGCATGAAGCATTTGTTCCCCGGCTCCTCCCTCAACAGTGCGCCTGTTTTCTGTTAATCCAAGCTTGCGCTCCAGTGTAGTACTTGTGTGGGGGAATGATAGAGTGTGCCTGTGTGGTGTCGGGCGCGATAAGTGCAAAGGAGGTTTACTATTTATTTGGAATGTGAATTTGCTATTTATTTTACATGTTGATTGTATATGTTGTGATAATGAGCTTACAGTCAAATAAAGGCTTGAACTGTACCTCCTGGTTTGTGGCGCCATCAGTTGTATGTACTTAAGTCAGTTGCAAAACATGGCTCCCCCCCAGGATTTGAGGTTGTTCTGCTAAGAGAAATCAACGATTCAAAAATAAAATACAACCCTAGGGTTGGGAGTGCGGCTCCCTGGTAGAGTGCTTACCCAGCATGCTTGAGGCCTCGAGTTTGAATCCCAGAACCTCAAAAGGCAGCAGTCTCAGGGGACTGAGAAAGGGGGGAATGTAGATTGTTTCTGGGGCTCTAAGACTGGAGGTCCTGGACAGAAACTTGTGTGAGCTCTGCAGGCATGGGTGTGGGGGTGGGTGGGGTGTACCATACTGGGAACAAGAAGTGGAACTTACCTGTTTGCTTATAGTCATTCACCTGGGAAGCTGGGACAAGCTAAGGAAATATGGAATTGAGGAGGATTAAGAAAATTTTCACTGGGCGGTGGTGGCGCACGCCTTTAATCCCAGCACTCGGGAGGCAGAGGCAGGTGGATCTCTGAGTTCAAGGCCAGCCTGGTCTATAGAGAGAGCACCAGGACAGCCAAGGCTATACAGAGAAACCCTGTGTAAAAACAAACAAATGAACAACAACAACAAAAAAAAAAAACAATAAAAATTTGCTACTGGGTTTGGATAAATTTATAAATATTTCGAATGCCTTATTTTTACGTCTTGTGTGTGTATAGATTTAGCATCTGTGACACTTCCCTCTCACTGTGCTGAATGAACCCTCATCTGTGTCCCCATGGTCCCCAGTGTGATCACTTACGTTTCTGTTGTGATGATGGATGTCTCAGAGCTACTAGCTAGTCTGTCCTACACTTGTTGTTTTGGGGTGCTTTCGTGGAAATGGGGTATTGCTCCTTCATGATGTGTCATCCCAAAGGTAGTGGTGAATTTGTCCTCTGCAGAGAACTGGGACATCTTCCGTTTCCTGGGGTTGAGAGAGCTTACAAGACATTTTATGGCTTCCAGAACTTTAGACTTGACTCAGCAAACCTCTGATGGAATAGAATGAGGTGATTTGGGGTTTACAGGCAAGAGAGGGGATCCTGAGGTCTGTTCACCCCAGCCTTCCACTCTGTCCCCCATAGTGACTCCATCATGCTGACACTGTGCCCTTCTGCTAGCTGGTGCTTGGATGTTACAGAGATGGCCGTTACAGCGTGCTGAGTGCCCACAGGGAGAAAGGAGCAGGATTTTACAGTGTATTGAAATCTTCATCTCAAGTCCATAGATGCTGAGTTTGCTGACGCTGGGCTCGGGGAGACAGACAGAGCCTCAGTCAGCCCAGTCCCAGAAGTTATGTCACCCGAGGCTGCTCTCAGTCTATCTGGACCTCCACTGCTTATCTGTGAAAGTGACTCCCCAGCTCCCCAGTCTCAAGAAAACCATTTTAGCACAGTTGGGTATGGTGGCTTAGGCCCATGGTCCCAGCACTCTGGAGGCCAAAGCAGGGGAATCCGGACTTGAAGGCCAGCCTGGGCTATACAGGGAGGAGAGGGAAGGAGGCGGAAACGGGGTGAGGGAAGAAGAGTATGCTGTGGTCCGGGTGCAAATAACACCTCGTTTTCTAATGATTTCAAGGTACATTGGTGCACATAGCAATACTGCATCTTTTAGGGGTGTTGCATGGGTACACCACAGCTCGGTCACATCAGATGATGGACATTTCGGGGGTTCTGCTTTTGGGCTGTTATGAACAATGTCACCATGAGTACATGTGAGTCTATGGGTGGACACGTTTTTCATTTCTCTTGGGTATACACCAATGAGAGGTAGTTTTGGTTCTGTGGTAACCCTGTTGGACTGTCTGAGGAGCCCAGAGACTCCCACAGTACCTCCACTTTACATTCCCACCAGCCAAGCGTGGGGTCCCAGTGCTCTGCACCCTCACCAATGCTTGTCTTCTGATGGATGTGAGGTGGGGTCTTACTGGTATTGGCTTAAAGGAAATGCAAGGAAGCAAAACTAAAGAATTCATAAGACAAATGCGGGTCCATCCGAAGGACTCTAATTAGCCTTATTTACTAAGTGTATTTTGCTTTCATAGCTTGATCCCTCCTAGGCACAGGGTGACTTGTTTCTGTTCCATAAACATTTATTGAGCACATCCCTGTGGCAGGTACTTCTGGGTACTGGATACAAAGTACACGAAGTGAAGCCCTGCGTTAGGCACTCATAGTCAACAGGAAAATACCACAGGATCACAGTTACCAGCCAGACAAGACAGAACAGAGCGGGTGCCATCTGGAACGTGCAGAGAGAAGCACAGTAGAGGCTCAGAGGAGGAGGTTCCCCTGGATGGTCCTGGTAACATGGCGCCTTACCCATGGGAACAACCCCATGTTAACCAGAGAGGTGAGGTATGGTTTCTGAGTGTATCATAGCTCAAAACAATACACGATCCCAGAGACAGCCGGTGTGGAGAATTCACAGAGGAGCTGTGACGGCCCAGGGGTCCGTGTCGCAGTGGCTGTCGGCTGGCTGCTCGCATCAGGCCCTCAGTGCCCCCAGAGGGTCGCTGCTCTCCACCTCCTGTTCTTCCGAGTCCTGGAAGACAGAGGGCTGTGATTCTGGGGTGGGGGGTGTTCCTCCTGCAACTGGACCCTTCTGGGGGGAACACTGCCCGGCTCTGGGGCCTAAAGCATGCCTTATCTCAGGCACGCACATCACAGGAGCCTTCCCCGCACGCACGCACGCACGCTGCTGCCTCATGTGGGAGTGGAGGGTGGAATTGGGGGTGGGGGGTGCTAGTCAGGGGTGCCTATGCTGGGGCCGCACATGCTTTGCTGTTGAAGCTGCCTGGGAGGTCCTCAGCGAGGTTGGTTCCCCATCTCTACAGCTCTGTAGGAATATTTACTTCCCTAGGAAGGTGTGAGGGTTAGCTACTGCATGTAGCCAGTGGTGGTCAGTCATAAAACTTTCATATGGAAAATACTAAAGCAGGTGACCGCATGAGCGCCCCGCTCCCTGCCAGAGCCCCGATGACCCTCCGGCTGTCATCGGCTCTGAGTGGCACCAAGGTTCTGACACGCAGCATGCTACCCGCTAGTTAGCAGAGGTTTCTCAAGGTGTTTGGGGTGCACAGAGCTGGGACCGGTACCCCACTCCAGTACAAAGGTCAGAGAATGTAGCCTGTTGGTGCCCTGGGCCCACGAGTCCTGTTACTGGTCTTCGACCATACAGCCGGGTGTGGCCGTGGCTATGGCACGGGCTTCCAACCCCAGCACTCGGGAGGCAGAAGGAGGTGGACCTCTGTGAGTTCTGGACAGCCTGTTCTACACAGTGAGTTCCAGGCCGGCCAAAGCGACATAGCGAGACCTTGTCTCGATGAGTAGATAAATAAATACTGTATGTTTTTGATTTAATGGGACTTCCAGAGTAATTTTTTTTAAAAAATTGAACTATACTGTGATTTGTGGGAGAAATGTGTGTTCTAAACACTAAACTGATGGCAGCCATCTGGCTTTGGTTAATACCACACAGGGTTGTTAACCTACAGAAGCCAAGATTCAAATGTCGCCTTGGCCCAAAGAACACTGTCAGCTCAGGTGGTGTGCCTTCAGACAAGGACACTCAGCACACAGGCTAAGGTTCTCCATGGTTACGCAAGGGGGAAAATGCCTTCCCTAGCTTCCCAGTCCAGAGCTGATGAGAAAGGGCAGGCAGGTTACCTCTCACATTTCCTGTGAATGGGGTGCCCGGCCACAGGGTCGCCCTGGGGTAAAGTCAGAATAGCTCCTATCCGAGCTCAAGCCTCACTTAACTCAATAAATAGATGGTTCTTTCTGGGAAGACTGCATCAGAAGATCACCCATTAAAGACTTCTTTAAGCAAAGGCAGCTCCCTAAGCAAGGAGCGGCTCTGCCCAAGGCAGAATTAGTCAGATGTGAGCATCGCTAAGGGGAGCACTTTCTACAGGCCTGCTTCCGGAAGCACAGGCATCCCACCTGGCCACAGGGCAGGGACCAAGCAGCCTCTAGTTTGAGGCTTCCTTCTGCCAGCTACATGAAAGCTGGCACTCTGACCAGAAAGCTGGCCTCTAGGCTTGCTATCTGAGATACATTCTAGAAGGGAAGCTCTTCCTGGGGGTGCAGCATTCTGCACCCCAGCCTCGAGTGAAGTGCAAACTCACTGTGAAGGGGTCACAGGAGGACTCGGGGGGTGCCGACGTTGATGTCTCATACACAGGGTTTGAGATATTCTCAGGCTGCTGCTGGCCAAAAGCCGAGACATCGATATCCTCTTCCGACTGTTAAGAAAGAGGTTTACAAGGGTTGAGAGGCAGGACTGTCCCCAAGGCACTTCACCCCGGGAGCCTTTTCAGCAGCATGGCTGAGATGATTGACACTTGATAGGAGGCACTGGGCCCCAGTGACAACTTTCATGTCTGCCCAGGTGTGTCTCCCAAACTGGCCCATAGGGAAGGCATTTCCATCCCCCAGAAATGATCCGTGACCCATGCTGCCAGCTCTCCTACCATAAGCACTGATGAGCCCTGTTCCCCTGGAGTTATGTGGCCGTCCCTGAGCTTAGGAAGATCATGTATGTGCTACAAATGATGGTTTGAATGCTCTCACCCAAACATGCACTGGAATTTAGCCCCCATTTTGAGCTATTAGGAGGGCAGGAGACTGGATTCTGCTGTGGCGTTTGCAGGCAGGACTTTGGGGGTGGTTATGGTTAAAGGGAACAGCAGGGCAAAGCAGAACCCAGTGGGATTGGGACTCTGTGAGAGCAGGTGCTCAAGCCAGGACTTGACTCTGTCACCCCAGGATCCTCTGCACTGTGTTGAGAACTTGGCTCAAGCCAGGACTTGACTCTGTCACCCCAGGATCCTCTGCACTGTGGTGAGAACTTGGCCGAGTCACCTGTAGCAAGAAAGCCAGGTGTGGCCACATGGCCTCCGATCACCCAACTTTCAGATCTGTGAGCTGACTGAAAGTGGTCCAGCTTGTGGAGTTTTGGCTAGAGTAAGAGATGTTTTTGAGGG